TTGAGAAGTAGGATGTAAAATGTAGGAAGTGAGATGTGGGATGTAAAATGTGGGAAGTGAGATGTGGGATGTAAAATGTGGGAAGTGAGAAGTGGGATGTAAAATGTGGGAAGTGAGATGTGGGAAATGAGAAGTGGGATGTAAAATGTAGGAAGTGAGATGTGGGATGTAAAATGTGGGAAGTGAGATGTGGGATGTAAAATGTGGGAAGTGAGAAGTGGGATGTGGGATGTAAAATGTGGGAAGTGAGAAGTGGGATGTAAAATGTGGGAAGTGAGATGTGGGAAGTGGGATGTGGGAAAGTTACGTAATCGACCCCCTGATTTCAAATTGTTAAATTTTTGTTGAATTAAAATACCCAGAATTAATAAATGTTATTTATCATTGAAACTGAAGCTTTAAGAGTTTTATTTATTTATTACCAAAAATTCTAATAAAAAGATGATTAATTAATATTTAGTCACATTATACCTATAGAAATGAAAGAGGAGGGGATATGGATAGGAAAGTGAATTTGAAAATCTGTCCGTAAAGCCTTATAAAAGTTGCAAAACGTCTCAGTCTCGTAATTTTGAAATGCAATGTTTTTTAGTATGATTTTTTAAGTGATCCACCACTGGAGCAATCTATAACCATGACTGGTGCAAACAGTGATCCAGAATAGGATCATTGACAAATTATCTTTGATGGAGCATTAAAGTAAACGTAGGTGTCAAAATTAAGTCTAACCTTGAAGGAAATGTCTATTGGAACTATCTGGTCCAGAATACTATAAAGAATAACCTCGAATTTGTCTAAAAACAACCTATACAGAACTTCAAAGTCAAAATAAGAAAGTTAAGGGGCTTAACTGATCCACCACTGGTGCAGTTACCCTATATGTTCGTATTTTGATTAAATTATAGTTTAAAAATAATAAATTAATAATAATATTTTTCTTTAGGTTAAAAAAATTATTCAAAGAAAACATTTTTTTGATTCAAAACACTCAAAAATTTCATTTTCGTAAAAGCAAAGAAAAATTTTTTTAATTCAAACAAATTTTTCTTTGATTCAAAGAAAATTTATTTGTTTTAAACAAATTATCTTTGAAACTAAGAAGCTTTTTTAATAAATAAAAATGAAATTGAAAATTTTATTTTAAATGAAAGAAAACAAGTCAAAGAAACTGGTTTCTTTAAATCAACGAAATATTTTCTCTGGGTGATAATCTGAAAGTAGCCACAAATGGTACTTCTACCCTATTTATATTTTATAAATTAAAAAACTTAAAAAATTTTAAATTGAAATAATTCTCCAAATGAAACGCATATATTTTCGATCATGAAATTATTTTTTAAATGATCCAATTTTGGAATAGGCGATATTTTTTAAGGGAAAAAAAAATTATGACGAAGAATAGCAGATGCTGAAGCAATGAATTTCTCGTGGTGCTTGGCGAAGGAAAAAAAACACCTTCTCTTGCGTTTTTATAGGCGAGAGAGAAGATACCAATAAGGGTTTAAAGCACCTTAGTAATTTTTCACCACCCTTTTTTTTTTACGTAGGTATATATACGAGAAAATATTCCTGTCGATATCAACGATCAATTTTATTTTTATCATCTCAATAATATATTCAACGGGAATTAAAAATAACTTATTTTATTTTACATATATGGACTTTAAATATTTTTTTCCTTCTTTTCTTAATAAAAAAACTAAAAAAAAATTTTATATTAATTATAATAAAAAACTTTATCTGGAACAGGGAAACGTTTCAGTAAAATAGTGAAAGATTTAATTGAAATAATTCTTTGTCAACCGGACCACCCCATCTCTCCATAATTGGTTTAATTTAAAAAAATTTTATCATATTGGAAAAATTAGCTTGGAATGTCTACTTTATAATCCCGTTGGGCGCTTTTTGAAATTCAAAATGGCGACTTAAATATGGCGCCTAAACGACATAAAAAACACAAAAAATCCACTAATATCTATATTAATAAAATCAGACTTTTGTCTGTACATTGCTCCAAATTAATTTTTTCTTGCATAGTTTATCATTTTAAGTAGTAAAGATAACAAATATGTTATAAATAAAAATTCTGTCTGTCTGTCTATCTGTCTGTCTGTCTGTCGTCAATATTTTGTACCGGCACAACTTTAAAACGGCTCAACCGATTGAGGTGAAACTTGGCTGTGCATTCAGTCTTAACGTAACTTAAAATCTTAGCCATATTTGATTAAAAAATATTAACATGAACGAAAGTTATGACATTTTTTCAAAAAATTTAAAAAAATCAAAAAAATGCAAATTTTTTATTTTTTGTCAGATTGATTTGAAACTATTTGTATCTAATTTTTTCACATAAATGCAATCAATTTTTTTATTAAATTAAGTAAATAGTCTGAATTTAAAAGTCTAAATCAAATTTTTGAATTTCCAATTTTTTTAATAACATTGTAATATAAGAATTCGTCATGTTCAACTTTTTATAAGTAAAACAATAATGTTTTTAGTCTGTTGGGTATTAAACGCAATCTTAGCTGCACACCAATGAAAAATATTAATTTAAACAAAAATATGACACTTTCAAAAAATTTAAAATATTTAACATTTTTTATTTTTTGATAATTCTTTACTAAACGTTCTTTATTTAAAATTTTGTGACCAATTAAGTATGCTTTTAACAAGAAATTTTAAGAATTTTAATTTAAGAATTTTATCAGAATTTTAAAATTAATAATTGCAAATCTGAATATGAAATCAGATATTGTAAAAATAATAAATCAAAAATTACTTTTTTACTCTTTGAAATTAACAATTATTATATTTAAATTATTATTATTATTATTGAATATTATTATTATTATTATTATTATTATTATTATTATTATTATTATAGATACAAATTATTTTTAAATATAATAAAACTAAATAAACTAAATAAACTTAAATATAATATAATAAATATAATAAAATTAAATTATTTTCATTTTATTTAAAAGAAATTTTTATATTAAAAATTTATTCTTGAAATAATTTTTAAAGTTTTTTAAAATTTTAATTTAAATTGTATTGATTAAAATAATTTTTATTTTCAATACTATAAAATTAAATACAATTTTAAATTATTTTAATTTTATTAAAAGCAGTGAAAAAATTAAATTGAATTGAATAAATAATAATTAAAAATTTATAAAAAGATATTTTAATACAGGAGAACACGCATAGTTGGATGTAATTATAAATTTCAAAATTTATTAAATCTAAATATTATAACCGTCGAAGACGGGTGCGACAGCTAGTGATCTATATTATTGTTTAAAGCTTCACATATGACGATAAAAATAACCACAACATAGTTTACTTACAAACTGATAACGTATCTCCATTCCAAATTCAAAAATTCAAAATGGCGGATTAAATATGGCGGATAAAATTAAAAATTGAGATAGGCTCGTGAAAATTACTACTTGGTGGTTTTCGAGGTCGCTGGTTACAAATTTGATGTCAGTTTTCAAAAATAATAAATAGCGGATTCAAAATGGCGGACCAAAAATTTAAAAAATTGAGCTAATTTCGTAAAAATGTCTTCATAGGGGTTTTTTTGGTCGCTGATTACAAATCCGATGTCAGTTTTAAAAAAATTTTAAATGGTTGATGACAAATCTCTATTTAAAATTCAAAATGGCGGATCTAATATGGCGGACAAAAATTGAAAAATCGTTTATATTCGACTGAAACTTGTTACTCGAAGGTTTTTGGGGTCGCTGATTACGAATCCGGTGTTAGTTTTCAAAAATTCAAAATGGCGGTTTCAATATGGCGGACAAAAATTGAAAAATCGTTTAGATTCGACGGAAACTTGTTACTCGGGGGTTTTTGGGGTCGCTGATTACAAGTCCGTTATTAGTTTTTAAAAATTCAAAATGGCGAACTTAAAATAGTAGCCCAAAATTTAAGTAATTGAGTTAAACACGTGAAATTGTTTACCTGGGGGGTTTTCGGGGTCACTGATTACGAATCTGCTTTTACTTTTAAAAAATTCTAAATGGCGGACCAAAAATCCAAAAAATTGAGCTAAACTCGTTAAAATGTCTACCTAAGGGTTTTTCAGGACAATCTTTACGAATTCATCGTTACTTTTTGAAAAATCAAATTGTGAATCTAAAATGGTGGACCAAAATATAAAAAATTGATCTAACTTTTTTATATTAAACGTAAAAAAGTGCCATTTGAACTTATCAAATACAACGCCAGATAACTTTTTATGGAAAATTTTTATAAAAAATTAAAAATCACAAGACTAGCTTAATTTTTTAAATCTATCCGCCATTTTGATTTTTAAATAGAGATTTGTCATCAACCATTTAAAATTTTTTTAAAACTGACATCGGATTTGTAATCAGCGACCAAAAAAACCCCTATGAAGACATTTTTACGAAATTAGCTCAATTTTTTAAATTTTTGGTCCGCCATTTTGAATCTGCTATTTATTATTTTTAAAAACTGACATCAAATTTGTAACCAGCGACCTCGAAAACCACCAAGTAGTAATTTTCACGAGCCTATCTCAATTTTTAATTTTATCCGCCATATTTAATCCGCCATTTTGGATTTTTGAATTTGTAATGGAGATACGTTATCAGTTTGTAAGTAAACTATGTTGTGGTTATTTTTATCGTCATATGTGAAGCTTTAAACAATAATATAGATCATATTAGTGGATTTTTTGTGTTTTTTATGTCGTTTAGGCTTCATATTTAAGTCGCCATTTTGAATTTCAAAAAGCGCCCAACGGGATTATAAAGTAGACATTCCAAGCTAATTTTTCCAATATGATAAAATTTTTTTAAATTAAACCAATTATAAAGAGATGGGGTGGTCCGGTTGACAAAGAACGTCCAAAAATAAATTTTTTCTATTCTAGTTGAAATGAATGGAAGAGAAAAAATATTGCAACTGGGGAAAAAAATTTTAAATACATTTGACGTTCTTATAACGATTTAATGAAATTTTCTACAGTTTCATGATTTTCAAATTTTCGATTTTTTTACGCTATAATTGTGAGATTTTCTTATATGTATTTATATATAAATGTCATAAACATCTAATGGCACAATTTTTTATGTGCCACACAATTTTTTTCTTATTTTTAACATTATTCGTGATTTTTATAATATATTTTTGTATATATATATATATATATATATATATATATATATATATTTGTATTTTACATTCGTATTTTTTTTCGTAAATATATGTAAAAATTTCGTTAATTTCGGCAAAATATAAATTTTGAATAATTATAAATTTCGTAGATAATTTTAATTTTACCTCGAGATAATTTTACGAAATATTTTTGGAAAATATATTTTAACAATTCGTTATTCGATTTAAAACTGAGAAAAAAATTCGAAATTAAAGAAACCAACACGGAGAAAAATGAGTTTGCTATTATATGGATAGCTAATTTTTAGCTACAGTAGCTAATATTTAGCTGTTACAGCAAACTATTTTAGCTATAGTAGCTAATTTTTAGCTGTTACAGCAAACTATTTTAGCTATAGTAGGTAATTTTTAGCTGTATTAGCTAACGAAAATTGCTGTCAATATAATAGCAAATAGGGTTAGCTAAAATAGCTAAATTTTAGCTAATATGGCTAACTTTTTTTCTCCGTGAAAGTTTATCTTAATTTTTGATATGTTGAAAGGAGATAATATAATTTGAATTTATTAATACGTGAAAACACACATCTTCCCTATAATTTAGAGACACATACTTTAACACATCTATTATTCGCATTGATTGTTTGCTTCATATATACCAATTTTTTTTATTTTATTTATTTTTTTTTTTTTTGATATAAAATATGTTCAAAATATTGTTTATACTTAGTGTATAAATTTATATACTGAGAAAAAAAATCGAAGAAGGAGTAAATTACTGAAATTACATATTTTAATTCTTATATTTATTATAAATAGTAAAAAATAAAATAATGAAATTTTTTTAAAAATAATTTTCTTTTCTTTTAAATTGCGTTAAGAAAAATGTCTTTTATTTACATTGAAATATTTTGATAGAAGGAAAAAATTTTTTTCTTTTTTTCTCAGTATTTAAAATTTTTACTACTCTAATTTTATTTACAATAACACAAACTTTACATCAAGCACCCTGAAACCGTTTTCTCCTTGAAAAAAGGACGTTATGTCAATTTCCAATTGTTGAGAAATCTGAACGAATATATCTTTTTTATTCTGCTTTATATATTTTTCTTTCGTATATATTTCCGGTTTTAATATAATGTCAATCGAAAGAAAAATGCGAACAAATAACTTTTTTTTTTTTGATATTGCAATAGTAAACTTAAATTATTATTTGTTGTTACTTTAATAAAATGTTGGATTGCGAATTTGAAATGAAATTTCTGCAAAATTAATACTATTATCTGAAGTTTATACATTTTTATTATAATAATAATTTTTTTATATTTTCTAGTTTTTTTTTAACAGTCGATAAAATTTTTGTTAACTTTTTTTCAGAATTTTTTAATTTTAAAATTAATTTTATTTTTTGGGTTTTTAAAAATTTTTAAATTTAATTTTTCATGTTGACTTAAATTTTACGAACTTTTATCGTCTATATATAAATAAAGAAAAAAAATTATTATACTCACGTTCAAACGAATCACAGCCTCCCATTTGTGTATATAATTATAAAAAAAATTACCTGGAACAACGAAATGTTTCACTAATACTAGTAAAAGTTTTACTTGTTTCAGTTAAATATTTCACTATTCTAGTGAAATCTTTCGCTGTTTCAGGTAAATATTTTTTTTTCCATGTATTTTATTTATAATTCTTTCATTCTATATTATATTCAGTAGATTTTATCACGACATTTACACGTAGCACGACAAAATTGTTGACGTTTTAAACCCTGTTCTGTGTCACTGTGACAAAGCCAATCGGGTAGAGTTTCGTAAAGTTGACGGCAATTCGCCCAAAGATCGGCCCATGGACATGAATTTTTGCAAAGCTTACCTATGCGACAATGATGCTTACAGTCACTGCAAGAAGGTCCAGCTGTATAGGGTGTACTCAAACTATCAGCGTAATTGCCTCTGAAAAAGATAAAAAAAAAAGTTCCAAATTCAAATTTTCACCTAGAAAAAAGATTTCTTTGAAACAAAGAAATCAGTTTTTTTTTAAATTATACTTTTTGAATCAAACACATATGAAATTTGAATTTAAAAAAGTTTTTTTTGGTTTAACGAAAAAAAAAATGTTTGAATTAAAGAAATTTTTGTCTTTGAATGATATTTTTAATCTAAAGAAAATTTTTTTTTGAGTCAAAGAAATATTTCTTTGATTCAAATAAAAAATTTCGTAAAATCAAAGAACTATTTCTTTGAGTCAATAAAAAAAGTAAAGAAATAATTTTTTTAAATCAAATACAAAATTTTTCTTTGACCCTATAATAATGCACGTAAATTTCTTTGATTCAAATAAAAAATTTCGTAAAATCAAAGAACTATTTCTTTGAGTCAATAAAAAAAGTAAAGAAATAATTTTTTTAAATCAAATACAAAATTTTTCTTTGACCCTATAATAATGCACGTAAATTTCTTTGAAACAAAGAATTTTTTTTCTGTCTGATATTATCAAATTTGTATATTTTTTCGTGCCAGTAGTAAAAATCAGTTTCAGTCAGACTTTAAAATTTGATTTTAATAGTAAAAGTCATGACTTGGAAGTTTTTGGTATTTTTTATTAGTAGTAAAAGTAATTTTTAGTCAGACAGCATGATGGTAATAATAATAAAATTATTATTATTATTATTATTATTATTATTATTATTATTATTAATATTTTAGAATTATTATTATTTTTATTATATCAGTATAGTAAGAGTCAGTTGTAGTCAGACTTGAAAATTTTTATTAGCAGTAAAAGTATTTTTTAGTCAGACAGTATGATCTTGAATCTTTTAATTGTTATTTCAGTAGTAAAGGACAATATTAGTCAGACGGAACTTTGTTAAATTCGTAGAATTTTTTGTGTCAGAGTAGTAATAGTAAATTTTAGTCAAAACGTCTTTCTTTTTTTTTGATGTTTCATCTAATTAATTTCTTAATTAAATTTTAATTTGACTCATGGAAAAAAAAATCTTTATCTGAAATAGCGATATGTTTCTCTAGAATAGCGAAAATTTTCCCTGTTTTAGTGTAACATATCGCTATTTCAGGTAAAGATTTTTTTCTGTGGCTGTTTGTATAATTAATTTATTAATTAATATATTCTAATTTGATTATTCATTTAATAATTTTCTTAATTAATTATATAATTTGATTATTATTTTTATAATATCTATAATTAATTTGTAATTTGAAAATAATTATAAATAATTTATGAAAGCGAAATGAAAACAAATTTTTTTTGAAACATTTTCGTAAACGAATTTTTTTTGCTGGACAAATTTTGTGAGCATGTTAACTGTAGTTGAAAGCTCATGAGAGCAATATACGAGAATAGCATCGATTAATATCAATGTCGTTCACAAATATTTGATATTATTCTGCACAATTTCTACGCATATTCTCTATATAGGCAAATACACATTCTGTGTTAAATGGAATATGTTGAAATGCAATCAGCTTATAGTTTATGTACCGTATAAACATATATATAGTATACACATCAATGCCCACATAAGCATTTCAACAAACATTAAATTATATTAGGTATATATATATATAAAATCTATTTTTGATATCTAAATCATAAAATTTAAAAAAGTTTTAAATTATATAAATATTTAAAAGTAGAGAAAGATTCTTTTTTTGATATTTGTGTAGCTCTATCATGTTTTATCTTGTGTCCACGTCAAGTTTGAAACCAATCTGATGAATATTTTAAAATAAGTCAGTCTACTGGAAAAGCAAAAAATCACAAATAATTCAGTTATAAAACGAATTTATAGTGAAAGCAGAATTAAGTACAAAAATTAGAAGTATTATCTCAAATAATTTTTTTCATTAAATTATTGTTTTAATAAGACTTTATAAATTTTTATATCATATTTTTTTAAAGGATTAATTTTTGTTTGGAAATTATTTTTCTCTTTGCAGAACGTGACATCGTTTAACGATTCATTATATAGAATATAAGGGGGTTAAATGAGAAACTAGAGAGTTCTTAACTTTTAGTCCAAATATGACTGTTGAGAATAAGGGAAAATTCAGTGTATATATATAAGGTCGGAGTGACAAATTTCCTCATTAATTTTGAAGCAACGAAACTACTCGTGAAATTGAACATAACGCAGATATTGAACCTTTTTGCCTTGGTGAAAAAATACGTACTTGCTATGAGTAAAAATAATACTATCATTTTTTTGATACATACGCGGGTCTCTCGACGATAAAGTCAATATTTTTACATTTTCGCGGTTATTTATCCTCGTAGGAAATATATATCTATAGGTCGCAGTGAGGATATAAATTACCCTCGAAGCTTTTCTATTGTTATTTCACAATCGTATATGCGGTAAAGTGTATATATATTTACAAAAATGAAATTTATTATTCTTTTATATGTAAATATATAATAGAAAATTTAAAAGATTAGAATTATAATTAGTATATAAGAATTTGGTCGGAGTATGACTCTTTTATTATACTGCTGGGAAAAAATTATACACGATTAGATTACGTCTGACTAAAACTGACTTTTACTACTGATACAAAAATTAAATTTTAATTAAATTATACAATATGTTTTTTAGAAATTATCATGAAATTACGATTATTTTTTGATATTTAAATTAGTATAAGCCAAAGCAGGAAAGAAACTTAACCGGAATTGTAACCGTCTTAAAAATAATTAAAAATTTCCAAGTGTTGCAATTATGAACTGACCTTAAATCTGCTATTACGAACAAAGGGCTCTGCCACATGGAGCAGATTAGTAAATTAGCAGAATAGATTTTAACCAATCAAAATGGAGTCTATTACAGCAAATATTACCTTGCCGCAAGAGACTAAATTTTGATTGGTTGAAATCTATTCTGCTAATCTGCTTCATGTAACAGAGCCCTAAATAAAGATTGGTTTATATTTCACTTTATCTCCAAACGTATATTTTCTTACTCAACTTCTCACTATGAATAAATTTTCGCTTCTCTCTTTCTTAGAATTCATAATAAAACTAATTTTAATACTTAAAAATTCAGTGCAGTAAAGAAATTGATTAATAAACTTGTCAATAAGAACATGCCAGCCATGATCACAGAAAAAAGGTGAGTAAAAAGTTGTAAAGATAGAGGATAAAAGTCGTTAAGATACAGGGTAAAGGATAAATTTGTGATGGATAAAAATGTTACTAAAATATTACTAGAAAAATGGATGTCATATTTGAGTAAACTGTCTAATTTTAGTAAAAATATTAGTAATTTTACACTTAACTTATTAAATTCACAAATTTTATATAAATAAGTAATTGCACGTGGAAATATTTTGCCTATAATTATTGTCTATTAATAAAAATATCTTTGACTAATATAACTGACAGCTGACGACAGTGCGTAAATAATCAGAACTGGGAAATTACAACTCAACGTCTGTATTGTTGCACGAAAGCAGAGTTGGGTAGTAACTGAATTTTTTGTGCATATTAGGCTGTGTCAGTTTATCGAGATATGTCGAGTTCAAGATATGACGTCAGAGGCCTGGAGGGACAACAAACAGACGACACAATGTTATTCTTACGGGGAAGAAAATTTGTTTCCACTTTCATCAATTTTATTCATACTTTAAATACGGAAAACGCTTGTTGATGTATAATAAAATTAAAATGTGTGTTGATAATTAATTTTGTTATATATTTGATTCAATTGCATTGATAGATTCTCTGAATTCGTGATAAAATATAAATTTTGAGGTTAGGGATGTTTGTTTACTAATCACATTTTACATTTTAACATTATTAAACAATATCCAGTGTGCATGTTATTAAAAAAGATATAAAATATATATTTTAAGTGGGAATTACCGCAGCAGTAAAAGATTTCAAGTTAGTAAACAAACACCCCTAACCTCAAAATTTATATTTTATCACGAATTCAGAAAATCTATCATTGCAATTGAATCAAATATATAACAATATTAATTATCAACACACATTTTAATTTTATTATATGTCAACAAGCGTTTTCCGTGTTTAAAGTATGAATAAAATTGATGAAAGTGGAAACAAATTTTCTTTCCCGTAAGAATAACATTGTGTCGTCTGTTTGTTGTCCCTCCAGGCCTCTGACGTCATATCTTGAACTCGACATATCTCGATAAACTGACACAGCCTAATATGCACAAAAAATTCAGTTACTACCCAACTCTGCTTTCGTGCAACAATACAGACGTTGAGTTGTAATTTCCCAGTTCTGATTATTTACGCACTGTCGTCAGCTGTCAGTTGTATTAGTCAAAGATATTTTTATTAATAGACAATAATTATAGGCAAAATATTTCCACATGCAAATTACTTATTTATATAAAATTTGTGGATTTAATAAGTTAAGTGTAAAATTACTAATATTTTTATTAAAATTAGACAGTTTACTCAAATATGACATCCATTTTTCTAGTAATATTTTAGTAACATTTTTATCCATCACAAATTTATCCTTTACCCTGTATCCTAACGACTTTTCTGCCGTGTTTTCTAAAAACTTAGGTAACTGCAGAATGAAAGATTTCGAGAAAAACGCGAAAAACTGTTTAAACTTCATTGATATGTACCGCAAAGCCTAATTAAAATTTTTAAATGCCGTTTTGTTCCTTCGATTCGTCTAAATTTATTCTTTTTAATTATGTAAAAATAAATGTTGTATTTGTTTAAACATTCAATAAATTATTAAAAATGTAGTTACCGGTATGCTGATTCGAGGGTCGTCGCACGAGAAACTTAGGTAACTGGTAGTTACTTGGTCCCTCGTGCTACGAGCGCCCGTATTAGGCCTCTCGTCGCACAGAAAACTTAGGTAACTGCAGGGAATATATAAGAATTTTCATCTTTCTGGGCAAAAAATAGTAAAAATATATTAAATAATAAACTATAATTATTTAATAAGCTGCGAAAGTTGTCACTATAATTATTGTTTTTTACAAATATTTAATTTTATGGTTAAATTTATTTTAATTATACAATATTAGAGTCAAATATTGTATTAACTCAGAATATATTTAATAATAATATAAAATAAAATACATAAATAAAATAAAAATAATATAAAAATAAATTTAAAAAAATAATAAATAATAAAGTGTAATTATTTAGTAAGATGCGAAAGTTATCATTATAATTATTATTTTTTACAAATATTAAACTATATGATTGAATTTATTTTAATTATACAATATTAAAGTCAAATTATTGTAGGTAATGTAGTTCGCTGCTTTATTAACGTTTATTTAAATAATTAAAAACGATTTTAATTTTTTAAATAATTGAACTAAATTAATTATATATTAATCATGAAATAAACATATTACTGAACTTCATTTTCTTAATTTATTAATGCTTTTATGTTATTTATTAAAATTAATACTTAATTTTTCAATAATTGATAAATTATTGGTATTGGAGTTTTTTATTTCATTATTTATTGTCATTATAAATTATTAATTGCACAAAAAACATTGTAATTTTAAAGAAATGTATAAGATTTTGCAGTTACTTGGTCCTTCAAAACACGGACCTCCTTTTTCGAGGCCTCGTCGCATAGAAAACTTAGGTAACTGCAGTGCTCTGATAGCACTCTGTAGTTACCTAAGTTTTCCATGCGACGAGGGCTCGAAAAATGAGGTCCGTGTTTTGAGAAACTTAGGCACTGGTGCAGTTACCTAAGTTCTTCAAATCACGACCTACAAAATACGTCACAACACCCAAAGACACCCAAGTTTTTATAGCAGTTACCTAAGTTTCTCAAATTATCACTCATCAATTTTTGCAGTTACCGGTATTTTCAATTATTTATGCAAAAATTATTATTAATAATATTAACAATTTTTAAAAATAATTTGCATTAACAGGTGTATCTTTTTTCCACGATTCCAACGATATAAAAAACTCATTTTTCGATTTTTTTGCAGTTACCTAAGTTTTTAGAAAACACGGCAGTTTTATCCTCTATCTTTACAACTTTTTACTCACCTTTTTTCTGTGTATAGTTATACTTTGACACCAATTTAGTTATCAAAAAATGATCCTAATTATTTCTGAAAAATTATTTCAATATTTGTATCAATTTGGTACCTAATATACCGAATCAAAACGTTTCATGAGTTGATCAAACTTACGGTATCAATTTGATACTCTCAAGGAAACTGTTATTTTTATTATTATTTAGTTATTATTTATAATAATATTAATAGAATTAAGTACTTATATTGGAAAGGGCTTTATTGGTTTAATAAATAATAATAATAATAATATTGAATGAATATCACTCGTATTTCTCTATATAGTTGGTAGAATGAAATGTTTGAGTGACGCTCTCGAACTTATGTCGTTGAGTTTGCAGATTATATAGACAACAAGAGTTTCTCGACCAAACTCTACATGTATATATACAAATAGTATTCACTATTGACTTTTGTAATATTCAAAACGTGTGTTGAGCTTCTTCAGTTTATTACTCATTACTCTAACGAACAGTGTGTTATTCTCTATGTACGATTATTTCTTTATTAAATCAAAAAAAAAATCATATTTTTCGTTGCGGTTCAATTAAAAATTATATTGTAATTATATAAACATTATAATTATAATCAAATAATCAAATGGAATTTTGTTGGACAATTAATTAATATGAGAAAAATAGATAATATTATGTTTGAGGTATACTTACGCTGGACAATAATTGCACACGTAGCTAAAATATGGAACACCAAGTGGTGGAACACTTTTGTTACATTTTGTCCAACCACAACCAACTTGATGTGTCGATGCCCACACCATTTGTGTATAATGTCCAACTTTTGAAAGATCGTTAATTGCCCGTGGTCCATATCTGAAAATCTTGTTCTCCAAATACCATGTCTTTATGGCGAAGAACCTGAAAAAGGTTTTTAATTTCCAAAAATTGTTCTTAAGATCCAAAAAAAAAAAATCTGTTCCTATAATTCCCGAGAATTAGATTCTTTAGTTCCAAGTAACTGTTTCTAATTATCGAGAATTGATCTTCAGTCCCAAAATCTGATTTAATTCACAAAAATTGTTCTTAAGTTCCAAAAAAAACTGTTTCTATGTCCCAAAAACTGTTTTTCATTTTCAAAAATTGTTCTGAAGTCCCAAAAAAAACCGTTTCTAAGTTCCAAGAACTGTTTTTAATTTCCAAAAATTGTTCTAAAGTCCCAAAAAAACTGTTCCTAAGTTCCAAAAACCTTTTTATTCACAAAAATCTAAAGCCCTAAAAAACTGTATGTCCTAAAAACTGTTTTTAATTCCCGAAAATTTGGTTAAATTAAAAAAAAACTCCTAAATAAATTCCTAAGAATTGATCTTAAGTCCCAATAGTATTAAGGGGGGAACACCAGTTGTAACTTTCGAAATATCGATTTTTTTTTTGGTGCATTTTCTTAAAGTATACATATTTAGAAATGTGTCTGTAAATTTCAAAGTTGATCCGGTGAAAAATAAATGAGATATACAGAACACTGCAGCGGCGCGTCCCGTGGCTTCATACAAGGTGGCCAGCCATACCTGACCCTAACGACAGATGGCCTTTTCCTATGATTTAGAAACGGCAACCACTGCGGAAGAGTTATTATATGGTCCAGGAATCGATGACTCTTTGTAACTTAGAAACAAAATTTCTTCTGAACAAAAAAAAGTAAGTTGAAACTTTTAATGCGTTTTTCTCAAAATGACATTTTCCAAGTCGGTGACCACGATTACTCGAATACCATTAAACCGATTTATTTAAAATTTAGTGTGCTTCATTTACACATATAAGTCTAGTTCGTGATCGAAGGATTTTTTTTTTTAATCAAAACTTTTTTTTATATAGCTGAAAATCGACCGTATTTTTTTAACGAAAATCATACTTTTGACTTTGACAGGTCGCCATTTTGTCAAATTTTTTTTTTTTTTTAAATCCTTCGATCACGAACTAGATAATCTTATAATAAATGTAAATCAATTTCATTTTTGTATTTCAGACGAAGTATACTTGCAGAATGCTGGTCACCGCAATTCGCCTTTTTTCTTAAGACGCCACTTCAATGGCTCATATCTCCAAAAGTTTTTGTTAAAAAAATTTTTTTTTTCTTTTAAATTACAGCTTTTTACATGTACTTTTAACTAATAAATAGTATTCTTTAAAAAGATTCATTGTTCTTTTGGAAAATATTCTTGAAAAAAGCATTATTTTTTGAGTTACAACTGGTGTTCCCCCCTTAAGCTACCTCAGGATTTAAGGAATACTTCATGAAATTGAACGCAAACTCTCTTTTTTCCCTAGAGACTTTTTGTGGTGACACTTTTTGCTTTGAAAACTCGTTCATGTATATATAGCTAATATATATATACAGTAACAAACTGCCCTGGCAATACATGTTGATCTCAAAAGTCACAAGTGTAGCATATGTAAATAAAACCTTATATACGCTATCGTTTTGTGAATATATTGCTCGAATTGGTTGCAAACTTCTAGTTTACGATCTCATACGCATATTTGGTCTAGCATATATAAATATTCTCTCCTTTACGTTTATAGTTTATATATCACATATATGGAGTCTCCATACTATCGTTTATTTTATAACTGCAATTAAGTTTTTTTTTATAACAATCTCAAAATTAATTTATTACGTTTTTGATTTTTATTTATTTAGAAACAAATTATTTTTTATTCTTAATTTAAAAATGTTATTTATATAATTAATTACAATTATAATTATTATTAATTATAATTATATTTCCTATAATAAATTAATTAACCAGTATATATTTTTAAATAACGAAATTTTTCTTAATATTATTTTTATTAATTATTTTTTTAATTTATACGTACCATGGCACCTGGGTAGTTGAAATAAAAATATTTTGTCCACAAGTGCCGAATGCATCTATGTGCAAACCAGTAGCATTATCATGTGTTAATGCAAGACAAGCCTCAGCCCATTTTTGCGCTGCTCTTGCTGCCCCTGAATGCCATTTCTAAAATTGGAAACAAAATTTTTTTTCATTAAAAATGTTAGGATATACACTATACCGTCGGAAATTGTCGGTATGGTTGACGTTCGAGGAGTGGAAATTCGGCGCTGACTTTAAAGCAAGATATTTCAAGTTAGAAAAAAATTAGAGACTTCTAAGGGGCCGTCCATAAACTACGTTACCCCACTTCTTTCTACGTTACCATTGCGTTAAATGCATTTTTTTTAGATTTTTTGACCCCCTCCCCCCCTAAAATAGGTAACGTAGTTTATGGACGGCCCCTAACTTAGATGCGGTTGAAAAGCTGATAAAATTCTGCTTCTGAATGTATATTAAGAAAATTTTTTTCTTTTTTTTTGGTATTTATAACACAGAAAAGATTTCAAGAAAAAATTATGCAATTTTTCTACACTGTAAAAAAAAGGAGTTGAATTTTAACTCCCTAGGGGGTGCTATAAAAGTCCCACCCATTGAAGAGTTAAAGCAAAGGGAGTTCATATTAGGGAGTTCAACTTTAACTCCTTACACGAGTTGGAGAATATGATCCTCCATTATAAAATAACTCAAAAGGGAGTTGATACTGAACTCCCTTCTACTCTTGGTTAACTCCTTCTTCGAGTTGATTTTTAACTCGAAAAATCGAACTCCCAACTCCTATAGTGAAGTTAACTTCCTAAATTTTTTACAGTGTACTTTCGTACTAATGTTTTTGACTTCCGCGGCATAATCTAGAATAAGGTATGGAAAAATTTGACAATTTTACAACATAATCTTTAGGGTGTTAGCTTTAATTTGCATTTTTGAAACCTAAAAACTGTTTTGTGGTTCCTGAAATATGTTAAAAAAGGTTCGAGCATGTTTTTCAACAACTCAGCCGTCAATCATCACTTTTCGCCGTCTCGCTGCTGTGTTGTAGAAACACATACTTAAACATTTTTTAACATATTTCAGGAACTACAATACATTTTTTAATTTTTCAAATTTTAACACTATCTTTAAGATCTTAGCTTTAATTTGATTTTTTGAAAATTAAAAAATGTTTTGTAGTTCCTGAAATATGTTAAAAATATGTTTAAGTATGTGTTTCTATAACCCACACTGTAAAAAAATTAGCGAGTTAACGTTACTGCCACAGGAAAAACAAAGTGTTATTTTAACACCAGAATTGGTGTTAAAATAATACGCAACAAATTTTACCCTAAATCTGGGTTAAATCTTATGGGTTTTAGCATTGGAGAAAATTACCCGCAACAAAAATAACACCAGCTTTTTTCTGTGTGGGAGTTGGGAGTTAAAATTTTCGAGTTAAAAATCAACTCAAAAAAGGAGTTAATAATTAAATTAACTCCTTAAAACCAACTCCCTAGGCATAAAATTAACTCGTAAAGCATTAACTCTCTTCGTTTCAACTCTAAAAAGGTGGAACTTTTATAGCATCCCCTAGGGAGTTGAAATTCAACTCCTTTTTTTTACAGTGCAGCAGCGAGGCGGCGAAAAAGGGATGATTGACGGCTGAGTTGTAGAAAAACATGCTCAGACCTTTTTTAACAGTTTTTAGGAACCACAAAACACTTTTTAGGTTTCAAAAATGCAAATTAAAGCTAAGAGCTAAGATTATGTTGTAAAATTGTCAAATTTTTCCATATCTTATTCTAGATTATGCCGGAAGTCAAAAACATTAGTACGAAAGTAGGAAAATTCCATAATTTTTTCTTGAAATCTTTTCTGTGTTATAAATACCAAAAAAAAAGAAAAAAATTTTCTTGATATACATTCAGAAGCAGAATTTTATCAGCTTTCCAACCGCATCTAAGTTAGAAGTCTCTAACTTTTTTCCAACTTAAAATATCTTGCTTTAAAGTCAGCACCAAATTTCTACTCCTCGCACGTCAGCCGTACCGACAATTTCCATTGTTTATTATTATTTTTTTAAATTTCTGTACACTCTTTTTCGGGGTTTTACATGATGAATTATATATTTTATATACATTTGAAAAAAATTATTTGATTCAAATATAATCGGTTATCTAACTATTATTATTAAGAGAGGAAATTATAAATTTGTTTTTTAAACACATATAAAAATGCAATAAATTTTAAACAATGTGTTCGTTATAAACCATAATTTCATATCAGCTTTTCGTGTTTAGCGTTGAATTATGTTCATGGAATATATATATGTATTGCAAGTACAGTGCTTTTATAACTCTAGCGTGCAATCGGTTCCTGGAGAAATGCCAAACTCCAATCCCAATTTAACGGACAAGAAAAAATTTGTAATATTTTCCTATTTTATATTTTACCTATATATTGAAAAGCTCATCCCATATTTGATATAATTTTGATTTGATGTAAAATCTATTCAATTTTTTTTCCTCGATTTATTTTCAATTGTATTTAAAAAAAAAACTAGTCTAATTTTAATAATTACATTTTTTTTATATTAATATTAAAATTAATAATTAATTTTCATTTAATTGTAAAATACTATTATTTCCCCTCTTTTCATTATGTTTCGCTTTGAAAAAAAAATCCCGCTTCACTTTGTATTGTTTTTTTAATAATAAAAACAAGAGAAAAAAAAATGTAATCTTTATAGTAGTCGCGCGTCATTATTAAAAACGACTTTAGAGATGAAATTTTCGAAAGAAAAAAAGAGAAAAAACCATGATAACAAAGAAGAAGAGAGGAGGGCTTGTTTTTTTTTAAGAAAAACTATTCTCGCAGTAATTATTTTCCTCGTGATTTTTTTTAAATTTAAAATTTATAAATAAAATTTTAAAAAATTTATATTTTATCATAATATTCAACACTTACCATAGCGAGCATATTTGCAGCTGGTGGATTTACGTGAGACCGAAAAAAGTTATGGTAAAGGACAATCTTCCTTTGAACTTTTTTGTTGCTTGGCATTAATACCCTTGAGGGAATTTTATCCCCGTACAAGCGTGGCACTGAAAGAACATAACAAAGAATCTTGTCTAGAAGATTGTGCATGGCTTAATTTTTGTTCTTTCTCTTATTATTATTATGATTATTATTATTATTATTATTATTATTTTTATTATTTTTATTATTTTTATTATTATTTGTGCAGCAAATAAGAAAAAAAAAATTATATCAAAAATTCTTAAACTGATTACAATCTAAATCATTAGTAAGTTACAATTTAAAGGACAAATTTCCATTCAGCCGAATTTCTGTTTAGCTAAATTTCCATTTAACTGAATTTTCATTTAGCCAAATTTCTACTTAATAAAGTTTCGATTTAACAGAATTTTTACCATTTAGAATTGAATTTCTATTTAGTAAAATATTTACTTAATGAAATTTCTATTTAACCGAATTTCTTATTAACAAAGCTTAATTTTAGCGGAATTTTGACATAATAGAATTTCTATTTATCCAAATTTCTATTTTTAAATGCCAAATTGATACGGCGCTAAATTTTTAATTAGTCGAATTCCAGCCTAATAAAATTTCTATTAAGCCAAATTTTTAATTAATATCATTTCCACTTAACTAAATTTCTATCTAAAAAAGTTTCTATTTAACGGAATTTTCGCCAACTATAATTTCCGTTTAGCAAAAGTTTAGACTTAACCCAATTTCTATTTTAAAACGAATTTTGATAAACATATATTAAACTGAATTTCTACTTATACGAATATCAGATTAATATAATTTCTATTTATTCAAATTTTTATTTATTTATTTATTTATTTCCACTTAACAGAATTTTTGCCAAATATAATTTCTATTTAGCCAAATTTTTACTTAAATTTTTAGTTTAAAACGAATTTTTATTAAGTCGTTTCTGCCAAATTGATTTTCTATTTAATTAAATTTCTACTTATTCGAATTTCAGCTTAATATAATTTCTATTTAGCTAAATTTTTGTTTAGCCAAATTTCTGCCTAACTGAATTTTTATTAAGTCGAATTTCTGCCAAATAGATTTTCTATTTAATTAAATTTTTACGTATTTAAATTTCAGCTTTATATAATTTCTATTTAGCTAAATTTTTGTTTAGCCAAATTTCTGCCTAACTGCATTTTTATTAAGTCGAATTTCTGCAAAATAGATTTTCTATTTAATTAAATTTCTACGTATTTGAATTTCAGCTGAATATAATTTCTATTTAGCTAAATTTTTATTTAGCCAAATTTTTGCCTAATGGAATTTCCACATTTGTCCGAAATTTCACTTAATTTTATTTCAATGGAAATTCTGTTAAACAGAAATTTTGGTTAAATAAAAATTCTTTTTAAAAAAAATTTAGCTTAATATAAATACGAATATAAATATTTCTTAATGAATTTTGAGGTTAAATTCAAATTCGACAATATGAATATTTATGGGGACTATGTTGTTCGTTTTTTTTTTATTTATTATTCACTTATTCTCTATGCATCAGTTTTGAGGGTATTTTAAATATTGAATATAAATTAAATTGTTAATTGGCATACAAATATACTGACTGGGTTTATTGCGTTCTGCTTGCGATATAACCACTGCCGGCAGTGCCGCTGTTATTGCAATAAACATTAAAATCCACTTCATGATTTTTGGATGTCAATCTGAAACATAAAAAGTAATTTCCGGTTAAATCGAAGAAATGATTATTTATTTTTTACTTTTCTAGTACACCCAGAAAAAAAGATTTCTTTGAAACAAAGAAATTGTTTTTTTTAAATCACTTTTTGTATGAAAAATGAAATTTGAATTTAAAAAAAGTTTTCTTTACTTTTACGAAATTTTTGTTTATTTGCATTAAAATAAAAGTGTATTTCTTTGATTCAAAAAAAAAAAATTTTTTTTAAAGCGAATAAATATTTCTTTGAGGCAACAGAAAAATGGTAAAGAAATAATTTCTTTGATTCTATAACAATGCACAAATTTCTTTGTTTTAATGAAAAATTTCTTTGAAACAGAATCTTTTTTCTAGATGTGAAATGAAGTTTAAAAAATTTTTTTTTTTATTTAAAGTGACAATTTAAATTCTTGTTTAGGAATCCAATAACATAAATTATATATGTATGTACACCCGCAGCAATAGTGCCTCGAACCATAAAGCGATCGTATTGAGTTAGTGTAGTTACGAACTGTAAACATAATAACAATAATTTAGTTAACCTGAGAATGCTTGAATTTCACATAATTTGGATTATTAGAGAGAACTTACTATTGTAAATATATATAGATGTTTGAAATATATATATATACAATTCTAATTGTTCGTGTATTCAAATGAATTTGTTTTATGTTTCAGTTTTTGATGTGGTGAAAATGTGAAAAGTATGGAATTGAGTTTCAAAAGCCATACACATCATCATTGGAATATTTTACGCAACTCCTCAATACAGCAGCAATTTTGGATTTCAAAATGATGTGACATAACATCCAACAATCGAATGAAACCGCAGAGCTATACAAAAAGGTATATATTCCAATAACAATAATCAATATATAGTTTCGTTATAACAGGTATTTTTTAACTAAATTTTTTTTTGTATGATTTTGATTATATGTCGATAATGAAGAATTAAAAAAAATTATTACTGAAACTTTACTAAAATTATATATAGGGGACACGTTTCACGTCAAACGGAATTATAGCCAAAAATTGTCTTGATATACACTTTTAAGCATTTTTGGGGTCGCTGAATACGAATCTGAAGTTAGATTTAAAAAATTCAAAATGGCGGTCGATTTTGAAAAACTTAATATTTTTTCTCGAAACTTGTTACTTGGGGTCAAATTTTTAAAATTCAAAATTGTGGATCCTCCATTTTGTATTTTTGAAAACCAAGGCCACATTCGTAATCAGCGGTCTCAAAAATTCCCGAGTAACGATTCTTAAGCGAATTGGGATAATTTAAAAAAATTCATCTGCCATATTGGATCCGCCATTTTGAATTTTTGAATATTGTATATTCGTAATCTGCGACCCCAAAAACCCCAGATTAACGATTTTCAAACGAATCCAACCAATTTTAAAAATGTTATACTTCCCGTCCTCACGTTTACATACATACTTTTACTACTGATAAAATTATTTTTAAAATGTTAAATCGATTCAGTACTGTCAGAAATCGGTCAATTTCTGATAGACTATTATTAAATTTTTTTTTCTTTTTTGATTTATTAAAAAAGTATTTGAATTTCCTGCCCTCATTTAAAAGTAGAAAATAAGTTTCTTTTTTAACTCTTACAAAATCAATGAATTCTATTATTTGCTTCGATATATTTATTCACGTTTAACGGTCCAAAACTCGTTATTCCTGAAAACTTATTAGTTTGAAAATTATGAAACTATCTTCTTGTTTATTTCAGTAGATATATATTTCGCGTAGATTGTGTGTTATAAATTTCTTCTGAACATTCTATAGAAGCTAGGAATTTAATACGCTGAATTAAGCACGAATTATTCACGTTATAATTCAACTAAAAATTTTTCCAAAAAATTCGAACTTTGTATGAGTGTAGCACAAAATCTGTTAATCCAATCAAAAACTGCGCATCAGAGGTGAAAGGGACCTTATAACTGCAAACAAATTTTAGGTTATGTCTAAGAAACTCAAAACATAACCTAAAATTTGTTTGCAGCTAAGGTCCCTTTCACCGTTGAGCGTCACATATATTTTTTGTTCGCCTCTCAAATTTTAAAAATCGAATTTTTTCAAACATTCGGATTTTATTTTAGTGTAGCTCAAAATCTGTTGGTCCAATAAAAAATTACGCCAGAAATTTTATGTCCCTTTGGAGGTAAATAAAAATTCTCCTATACATTAGAATTTGGTTAAATAAGAATGTTCAGTTTTAAAAATTTTATTACACAACAATTTTTGGTTATTAAAAATAAATTAAATATAAAAATAATTCTCCTTAAAATTCGGCTAAATGAAAAATAGAACTTTTTTTGGGGGGAGGGACTATTCATTTGTCTCTTTTTTTTTTCTTTTGTCATTATGGGCAAAAAAAGTGTTTCTTTTTTATTTTGTCACTCAAGTATAAAAACGTTTGGTGCACTTTGTCCTAGATAAATGTTAGCAATTTTGTTGTACAAATCGTGTGTCCAGTCTTTGTAAATGGACATTGTGACATTGTCAAGTGATATTGCATCCGTTCTATTCAAACGTTACGCGTATAACAATAAGTATAAAAATTCCTTGAAATGTAAATCGATGTGGGTGGTTTGTTCACTCTCAAGAAAGCGAAGTCAAGAAAGCGAACATTTTACAATCAATTCTTTCTATAGAATAAAAATATAAAATTGTGCTAAAATAGCAGTTTTTTTTTAAATTTAAATTCGAAATTATTTTCCGTCTTCGTATTAGGAATTTTAAATTATAATTAAAAAAAAAATTATAATTCATTCAGAATTTATTATAAAAGTAGTAATTTATTTATTGGATTAAAATTTTTTTAAAACATAACATTTTGTTATAATAATAGTTTTAAAACAATAACAATCAACAATATATTAATTAATATAACAAATTTAATTATTATGTCAAAAAAAAAATAAATTTCATCATTCAAACCATAAAGCGTGTATTCAATTTAAATAGAATATCATGTCTGATTAAACTCAACCTCTACTACTGCCACAATATAAATCTACTGATTTTCCAGTGGGGAAACATTTTGTTTCATTATATAAACTTTATATATACTATAAATTAAAAATCGTTTGTTTCATGAAAAATTGTAATTAAATTTTTAAATCTATCTTGAATTTTTGAATTTTTTTAAAAATTTTAATCTGTTAATACTCGAGATAAAATATGCTAATCTTCACATTTTTTGGGTGTTGAGAATTTTAAAAAAAATTTAACATCTTTTTTTTTTTGAATTTTATATATTGAAAAAATTTTTTTTTTGTAGAACATATACACGGCATAAATAATAACTTCGTTAACTGTGTGCTGCGTATCTGATCATGCCGTTGGCGACAATCCCATTAACGTTTTATACATGATTTCCCATCGGATGCAAGCCAAAGTGTACAACATCCCATGATTTGCCTTTGATTTACAGAATTAAGTGAAAATATTTATGAGTCACCCATCCCATTTTATTTATGTATATATATATATATAATGTTTGCGTATATTATTTGCGGATTAATACTTCAAATGGCAGTTTAATTATCACTATGTGATGGCAAAATTTAAATGAGACTACGATAAAGTCGGAAATTTGAATATTTAAATTCTATATATATATATATAGATATATACATTTAAAACTTTATTTTATCTAACAGAAATTGACTCACTGACATTAAAATCAGAGATGAATTTAAACCGCCTGACGAAAATGTAGTTTCACTATATTAAGGAGGTTTAAACCTATAATCTCATACTAAAAAAGTAGTTTTTAACGGAACTAAAAATATATTTAAAAATTTATTTCACCAAAAAAAAGTACAATTTCTCTATAAAAAATTAATTTACTAGCATTACTATTTTTATTGTTATTAATAGAAATTCACTTTTATAATTCTTTTCGTCTGGTTTTTTTTTCTATGAAATTTTATATAATTACCATTATAAATTGAAAAAAAAAATACTTATTGGGACAAAAGTTTTTACTTAGTAAAAACTTTTTCGAATCTAATTAAAACAGGTTGATCGAGCATACCCATTTGTTCAGATTAATCACTTCAATGATTTCTTTAATTAAATTAAAAACTTATTCAATTGTCCATGTGATTTTTTTTCCCTGCTTTAATTTACAGTTTTTAATGCGATGAGATAAAAAAAAACAACGCACTTGAAATTAGCTCTTTATTTTATTTCTATTTTTTTTTCAACAAATCTTAAAACTTTTTAATGAATCTCTATTTTTTACGGCGAGTTTAAAAAAAAATATTTATACTTTTGCAATTAATTTTACAAGCAACAGTTATATAAGTTTCAATGGCATATGGTTTATGTATAGAAGTTTGTGAACTGGGCGCCGCGACAAAATTATTCTCTTAGGGCGAACAACTTTCAATGAATCCAACGTGGGGGTGTAATAAACTTTTATTTTCTTCGCCTTATTATAGTCGAAGGTAAATATCCGCGAAAAATTACGTAAAAACTAAAGTTTTTTTTATATTGTTTTTTTAATATTTATTTGTTTTTATTGTATTTTCTAATTTAAAAAAAGAACTTGTCGGTAACCTCTAAAACTAATCTAAAAGTTAATAGTGATATAATATTTTTTTACTAACAATTTTATATTGTATTTCATTAACATGTCAGAAGTTTATGGCAAAAAGTTTAAGGAGTATTAATGAGGCTAATGTATTGAAAAGAATTGTGAATAGTAATTTGAGCATTAAAGTTGTTATTAACAAAATTTATCCTTTTTTAAGGTTTTGATGAATCGAATGTATGGAAAATCTAATTTTGTTATTGAAACGTGTTGAAGAATTATAATAATTCATTATATTTACAAAAAATTTTAGAAATTATTAAGAGAATTTTAATTTTACAGGATTTTAATATTAACATTAATAATAGGAAAGCCAACAACTAAGAAGATCCCTATATGTGGGAAGTGTTTCATACTAGATCATGAATAATTTTAATACCAACATTAATAATTGGGAAGCCAACAACTAAGAAGACCCCCACATGTGGGAAGTGTTTCATACTAGATCATGAATAATTTTAATACCAACATTAATAATTGGGAAGCCAACAACTAAGAAGACCCCCATATGTGGGAAGTGTTTCATACTAGATCATGAATAATTTTAATATTAACATTAATAATCGGGAAGCAAACAACTAAGAAGACCCCCATATGTGGGAAGTGTTTCATACTAGATCATGAATAATTTTAATATTAACATTAATAATTGGGATGCCAACAACTAAGAAGACCCCCATATGTGGGAAGTTTTTCATACTAGATCATGAATAATTTTAATATTAACATTAATAATTGGAAAGTCAACAACTAAGAAAATCCCCAAATGTGATAGAATTTTTAAGACGCCGTATTTTCAATTGTCCGAAATTACAAATGGTCGAACAAATAATCGATAGAAAAATTGCGCGGAAATCTTTCTGTCAATTGTTTATCCGGTCATTTATAATTTCGGAAAAATGAAAATTCAGCGACTTAAAAATTGGATGAATTATAATTTCTGTTTAGCTGAATTTCGATGCTTTTTTATTCAATTAATGATTGAATGTAACAGGTTAATGATTTTTACTATATTTATTTGGTTCAAGTGAATATTTATTTGTTATTAGTAAATTAACGGATTATTTAAATGAAATAATTTTTTTTATAGTGTACTGAATTGTTTTATTTAATTAATTATTATTAATTTAATTTATTGGTTAATTTTATGGTATTTTTATTTTATTTTCAAAAAATAAATATAGTTAAAGAAACATTTTTACCTAATTCGCAAATAAATTCTAT